CACACACACACACGCGCACACACAAACAACAGCCCGACGCACAACCCGACACACGCGCCCCGCGCGCGGCCCCACCGCGCCTGCGCGGGAGGCAACAGCGCGGCACGCGGGGGCTGCCGTGGGGACGCCCCGGCACCCGCAGGGTCCCCGCGGGGACACGGGAGGACACGGGGAAACACGAACTTCAAGGGCCGCGAGGGCCCGGGGCGGCGCCCCGAGCTCCCTTTCATGGCTCCAAAGGTCACGGCGATACAACCGCCGGCCCCAGCGCTCCGAGAACGGTGCTGGCTCTCGGGCAAATCACCCCAGAGATTTAGGGTAGGAAAAGCAGGTTTTGGGCAATTTGGGTACTTCACCCAGGCTGCTGTCCCGTCGCTCCAGCGCCCTGGCCRGACCAGCCGCTTTCTAAGCTGGGGCGATACCACGGCACTGAAACTCAGACCTCTCCTGCTTTGAGGCCTCCATTTGTTCTATGTAAAGAAAGCAAAACGTGGAAACAAAATGTGGCAGGCAACAATTTTAAGGAACATAAATGGGTATTTTTAAAAAGTACGAAAATGCCCAAATTATCTCCACGGTGACAGCTTATTTCCTTGCAACGTGTTCCCACCATCCAGTTCAGCAGGACSTTGCCCAGCGTGGTTTCGACATGTCGCCAACGGGTCCATCTCTGCAGCTATCGAGAAACCATCACAAGGCGCGTGCAAATCTCTCGAATAATCAGCTCTGACGCACGTCAGCCCCGGCCTTGAGACCCAGGCCTTAATCCCCCGCTCTGCCCTGCCCGAGTGGCTGCGAGGCGATTCCTCTGCGCCCCGTGCCTCAGTTTCCCAGGGATGGCAGGTGTGGGGCCGCACTGCTGAATTATGAGACCTATTGATTAAAAACAAAAGGTGCACACATCTGTTATTTAAAGCAAGTGACTAAGCCACTTGTACGCAAGCAGACTTGCTGCCAACACGCTCCAAGAGCGGAGGACAGACACCCAGCACCCCAATCCCCGCATGCAGCGGCTCTCCTGAAGCCCACGCCAGCGTTCCCCCTCTGCGGGCGGGCAGGTTGGCCTCCACAGCGTTTCTAACCATAACCTAACAAGGGACACGGGAAAAACACCACACGGCCTCCAGCTTGCCGAGTCCTTCCAAGAAACCTTAGGCAGGGTCACAGTTGTCCCGAGCCCAGCGGCTGGGAGGAACGTCCGCGGAGCAGAATCTGTCGCGGACAARGTCAACGAGTGTGCCGACAAAAGAAACGATTGTAATGACCGCCTGACAGGCTCCACGTGCACCACCGCTGGCTGCAACAGCGGCAGGCGGAGCGCAGGCCTCAGCGCCGAACCGAGCGCTGGACCGTCCCAGACTTTTGGGACTCTCACGTGGGGGGAAACTGCTCCCAGTTTCTCTGCAGGCCAGGTTAAAGCAGCTGTACACATTTCATATCAGTGCTCCGAAAGGATTAAAACAACAGGCTCTGTATTACGGGGRAGAAGGTGATAAACCCATCCCAGCTTGAACACCCACGGTTCAGCATGGAAAGCAGCAAAGCAAGAGCAGGAAAGATCAAAAGCGAGCCATTAAAGGCGTGAGAAAACAGTGCTGCCCTATAAGGAGCTAATAAAGTTAGCAGCTCGCCAGTTTGAAGGAGAAAAAGGGATGGAGAATCAGAAAACATCCTTGGGGTCAGCGCAAAGAGCAAAGGGAACAGCCAGAGCGAGTCTCCCATCCAGGGGGAGAGACAGAGGAAGAGGAGCGCAGGATGGAGGAAGAGCGCGAGCTGACAACGCTCCCAAAGGCAAGTTCATGCACAACCCCGAGGCAGCCAGGCGAGCTCGGAGCCACGCGCCGCTGAGACATCTTTAAAACAACCGGAGATACCAAACAAGGAGAGCAGCCAGAGYGGCGTTTGCCAAGGCTGTAACTTCCTATTGCTCTGCATTTTGGGCTCGCGGCAATGCCGCAGGCAACGGGCAGAAAGGAGCCGTTTTGCCTTTCCCCGTAGCCTGAGATGTTGACTCGGGCGCTTGAGACACAAGAGCAGCCGCATTAGGGGTGCACGATAATTATCCCCACCAGCATCCGGAAGGCATCCAGCTTTCTCCGTGTTTTTATGGGAAAAAAAAAAAAAGAGCAGTGTATCACCCGGACAYGAGCTCTCGAGCATCGCCAGAAACCCTCAGAGCTTTTCTTTGTTTGAGCCTCCCAGCTCTATCCACTGTCTTGCCCACATAAAATTCATTTACGTGCCTTTCCTGCTCACTGACTGTATTTATTAACATGGCAGTTGAATATCGCATTGCCAGCGCGGCTTTTAACTGATTTCTAAGCTAGCCTGAATTACTGGACTAATTTTATTGCTTACCCATTACATTTTATGCAGCAGATCTTGTCTTTTTTTTTTTTTTTCCTCCCCCAGAAGGAACTGCTGCAGTTTGATATTTGGGCTCATGTGTTGCCAAGACAGAGGACATCAGCTGTTAGCAGCAATTACACTGATACCCCTTCGAACACGAAGCCTGGACCGGCATCCTAAACAACACAGAGATTAGGAAAAAAAAAATTTTGAATTAATAAAGCTATTGATTTGGGTTTATTCCTTTTGAGGGTAAGTGCTCCAAATCTTCCAGATGAGATAGCCCCTGTTGAGAAGATCCCCTTCACCACCTAGAAATGGTTATTCCCAGAACTGAGCGATTTAGCTTCAGATGCTTTTCCCAGCGAAGCTATGGGAATGCTCTATGTTGTTTTTCATATCACATGGTTCCGAGGATCTGCATGGCCACAGAATACGGCTGCTGTGGCCAGCTGGTTTGCAGGCAGTTTCCACTGCACAGCCAAGAAACCCCTGCAATCTACTTTATCCTGAACCTATTTGTGTATTATTTACATAAAATACTTGTGCGCGGAGACTGACACACACCTGAAAACCTCTCCAGTGACACAGGAGAAAAGCTCCTCACCRAGCTCTGGCTCTCATGTCACCCAGCCACCAGCTTGGCAGACTCTGAGGCTGTTTTATGCTTTTTTACCTCTTTGGGATAAGAGGAAAGCTCGAGGACCTGTGGTTTCCCATCTTTTGGGGGATGAGCAGGGGTTTCTATCACTGACCTGCTTTTTGGCACCAGAATTTCAGATTTTGTTTAGCTTGGAAACCTCATGGATATAGTTCTAACAACTGTTCAGTCCAAAGCACGAGGTGGGAAAAGTTCAGCGGTCACAAGGTAATTCTTGCTCGTTTGCCCCAAACTGCCAAAGAGCGAGTCCCACAGAGCCTGCCAAACTGGAAACATCCCAAACAGCCAGTTTTGCTGGCCCACGGTGCCCGAGTGCCAGCAAAGGCCCCTGAGGGACACGAGACTTATCTCAAAACAAATAGATCCCTAACATGAGACTACAATTAATTTCTCTGTCCACGCTGCTTTAATTCGAGTGCAGATGAGAGCTTGGGCACACCAGGCTATTGGCAAGCTCCACCTACACCGCACCCCATTTCCCCTCACTCTATAGCTGCGGGAAACCCGGCCTGGACCCCTCACGCTCACCCATAGTGAAGCTTGGCTAGAAAAGCATCAAGCCGCTGTACTGCTGTACTGATCACTGCTGCAAAGAGCCCGCCTTGCTGGCAATAAAATCGCTGTGTTTCTTACAAGATGTTGCTCCAGCTCGCTGGGCCAGGGCCCCTCAGCAGGTCAGCCGGGGGCATCCACGCAGCACCGATGCCAACATCCTCATTGAACGCGGATTGAGACCTCGGCGAGCCCGGGACCAGGTGCTTTTTATTGCCATCTTTGCATCACAGCAAAGGGAATTGCACTCAATAAGGAAGCGTTTCGCGGGTGCCTGGCAAAGGAGCACAGGCTGGAGGGATGCGGGGGAAAGGAACAGCATCTTGCAGGAGCAAGTGAGCAATAAACAAATAAATGTTCGTTGGGATTCCGGTGTTCGTGGGCATCATTTAGTTTGTCGCCAAACGTGGGGTTATTGCATACGGGTGCACTATTGCATGCAGCTCCGTTCACCTGCAGGGAAAGGGGCCCCGTTCTCACTCTCGCGCGCGCGTGTGCCTAAACGTGCCGCACAGCGGCACAACGCTGACGACTTCACTGGATGTTTCTGCCTAGGCAGCAGTTGGGGAGCATGCACAACTGTGGAAGGCTTTTTTGGGGGAGGCAGCTGCCCTTTGCCACACCAGTTTAATTGTACAGCTCCATCACAYGGCCACAGGGAAGGAAACACAACCTGAAGGGTTGAAAACCAGGTTGTTTTAGCATCCCACAGGCTCCAGCTCAGCATTCCCACAAGAAACAGCCAGTCGGGCTCGGAGCAAAAGCTGGCACAGGCGAGAAGAACAAAGGGCACCAGGACTTCTTCTTTCAAGGTGCAACTGACCGWCGAAATCAGCTGATCGGTTCTTCCTTTTTGTTGCTACGGTCCCCATGTGTCCACGCCTGGCAAGGACACGGGCACTGAGAAAAGGAAAAGCACAGAGGTAAATGAAGAGCTGCCTGGCCGCCCTTCCACCCACGCAGGATCAGCTCTGGCAGCAGGRCTCCAAAGAGCAGCGACCAGAACACATTACCCAGCTTCGCAAATAAAGCTAATGGTTAATGTCTTACGCGCGCATGCACTGTGCAGGCAGGACTGGCAAACACTGCCTTCAAAACTGACTAATGCACAGCACTTTGGGTTTTTTTTTTTCTTCTTTTTCTTTTTTTTTAAGGCTACAACGCAGCTTTTCCCCCCCACACACCCTCAGAAGCACCAGGCTGTTCTTTTGTTAATGCTGAAGGCTGGGAAGGGGAAGCCCTGGGACCTACTCGTATTATCCACACAGAAGTAACCACAGAAACGTTGTGGGTTTCTGTGGCCCGTGTACAACACATGCTGACACAACCAGACCCGTGCAGCCCGAGCCAGCTGCCCACACGGCTTCGGATCACAGCACTTTTACAGTACTTACAAAGGTATCTGCTGCTGAGTGGGGGCTGCACAAACAATCCTGCATTTCCCTTGGAAGGAGGGAAAAAAACAATCAGATAAAGATGACAGTTTGAAATATTGGAAATTTCCCCTGCATTTTGCAGCAAAGAGATGCATTTGAAAATAAACAAATAAACTGGGGGTTGTAGGCTCAGCCGTCCTGCGAGCCAGGTGGAGCTGGCCGGCACGTGAGCGCTAGCAGCATTAACACAACACCACGGCCAAAGCACAGCAGAGCCAGCGCTGAACGAGGTCACCCGGGGACTGCAAAAAAGGAAAGAAAAAAAAGAATGAATAAATAAATAAGCAATGTTTATTCCCCCCACACACACCCGTCTTCACACTAGCAGGAGAAACRAGACACCTGCCCACAGCAGGTTAAGAAATAACAGCCCAGTTCCCAGGACAGAATAAAAAATATTGTATCTGCAGTGAAAACTGCACAGATTTAGGTTACTGCTTTCAGTCAGTCCYCTTTACTGACCTCTTTCCCCCTTGCACACAGCCCTTTGCAGCCTTAAAAGCCACCAGCTCTGGCATTTTTATCTCCAGCACTTGAAAAAGAGAGGGCTGCCCACCGACTCCGAGCTGGATGTGATTTTTATTTTTCCTTTCAGTGGCACCGTGGAAAAAAAAATAATAAAATCACTTACCCGCCTTGCAGGCAGGGCTGCGAAAGCTTAAATTTGTGCCTGCCTTGCATAAAGGCTTTTGAAAACCTTCCAAGGAAGGTGCCGGAGGATTGTAAATCCTTCCCCTTATTAATAAAAATGGAGCTATTGTTCCAGCGCTAATCAAGGCTTGTCTCCAGCTGGGCAATTTTTAAGACGCAATTCAAAACACACACACACACAATATAAAAAAAAATAAATAAGAAGCTTCAATCCACAAGCTACTAAAAGGGGGGGTAATAACAAATAAAAATATTAAAAGAAGTGAGCTGTTCTTTGAGGGAAGATGAAAAATAATGCTACTATTTAAAATGAATCTAAAATGAATCCAAAGCAGGAGCRCGGAAAGGAGGCGGGGGTGCTCCCTCCCCGCGCCTGGGAAAGGTCACTCCTGCCACGATGCCCATCGCTGCCAGCCCAGCCTCATCCATCTCCATCAGGAGCCATTTCTGCTTTTAATTTATTTAGAAAAAGGAAGGGGTGGGGGGGAAGCGGGGGAAGGAGGGGAGCGTTACAAACACCTCCCAGCACCCCCTCTCCTCTGCGAGGATGAGGGAACCCAACGGCGGAGAGGGGGAGCTGGAAAGGGCCGGGGCGGAGAAGGGAAAAAGCGCGGAGAGGAACCTCGGCGGGGAGGAAGAGCCGCCTTCATCGTCCTCCCCGGCGGCGGCGGCCCCGCCTGCGCTGCGGCAAAGGCGCCGCAACGGCCGCTCCCCGCGCCCCTCCCCCCGCCCGCCGTTCGCGCCGTTTCCTCCCGCTGTGGAAACTTCTGGAAGGCGCCGCCGCGCTGAGCAGCCGCGAGAAGCTCCGGTTATTTATTTATTTATAATCCTCACAAAGGGAAAGGGAAAAAAAAAAAAAGGAGAGAGCGCGCACGCAGAAAAGCAGCTCCGCCGTGCAGAGGTGAGGGGGGAAAAGTAGTAATTTAAAAAAAATAAAACGATGCCCACAAGCGGCCGTTGGCTCGACTGGGTTGTGCAGCCGCGGCTCCAAATAAAACGCATAAGCACCCCCCCCCCCAAAAAAAAAATGTTTGGAGCACTAGGTGGTGGAATCCAAGGAGCTGATTCCTCCTCCTGGATCTTCAGCAGAGCCCTGCCATTCAGCGTGAGCTCATTTGTCCCTGTTTTTGGTTGCAATGATTCGGACTATTTGCATTTGCAGCTTCAGTTACTGGAGCGKTTTTTTTTTCCCCTGTTCTATGATTGGCTTTTTTTTTTTCTTTTTTTTTCCCCCCCTCTTTTCCCTCCCTCTGTCTTCTAACTAAAACATCCTCCCCAAATAATCCCAAGGAAAATCTTCACCTCTTTGGAACAAATAAAGCATTTCAGGCACAAACTACCACCCTGGACTGGTAAAAAGAGATGTTTTATTAATATTGGTATTAATTTTGGTGAAGGCATTTTTTTTTCTCCTGTTTTTAGGATATGTTGTCATAGAAAGCCAGTGGAGGAATATAAAGGTTATATGTACACACGCTCACACACATATATAATATATAAAATCAAGCATATATGGGCCAAAATTAGTCATATGTATCGTTAAATCATGCTGTTTTTCGTATGTGGTTTTATATTCTCTAAGCAGACCCTGCAAAGGGGAGATGTGTCTGTGTCTCTATGCATGTGTATGTACACAGAAATAAAAGCACATCTGTATGTGGCAAAGAAAAAAAAAGCATTTTTTTTTTCAAACAAAAAGGTGATGTTATGCTTTAGGCTGTAAGAAGCCATAGCACAGGCAAAAGTAAGTGACATTTAAAACTGAAGTATGGGTTGTATGCAATAAGCAGAGGGGAGTGTATGGAATTAAAAAGTATTAATACATCTGATCCTACAAAATAGACGCTTTTAGTTAAGCGCAGAGGAGCTTCTCCTCACTCTACCTCGAGCCTCCGGCTCTATGAATAAAAAAATCAATGCGCGCAGGGGTGGTGGTGGTGCTTTTTATTATTTTATTTGTAAAAGGCGTTTGGGAGTTTTCCACACGCTGAGGAAAAGCCGGTGACCGCCTCGCCCCTCCCCCTCTGACCCACGCAGGAGGAAAATCGGCAAAGAAGAAGAAAATAAATAAACCCACCTCCGGGAGTGGGGGGAAGGACGCGATTTGGGGCTAACTCCCTTCAAGCTACCGGGAAACAAATAAAGAAAAAGAAAGAAAAAAGCCGAAATGGGTCAGTGACGGGCTTTGAAGGAGCTCCGGCCGCCGGGGGAGGAAGGGAAGCCATTTTCGACTCACTCCGTTTGAGGCGGGGAGGAAGGAAGGAAGGAAGGAAGGAAAGAAAATGGGAGCCTTGCCCCTACGCCGCTGCTCGCTGGAGGGGGACGCGCACGTGGCGGGGAGGAGGCGAGGGCAGCCCGCTCCGCCGCGCTGCTGCCGCGGCTCCCGCCGCCCCGGCCCCGCGGGCAGCCGCTCATCGCTCGTCCTTCCCGCCGCCGCCGGCCRGGCGCCATTTTGTCGCCGCGCGGGGCGGCCATTTTGTGAAGCGGGCGGCGGGAAGAGGGAAAAGTACCGCGGGCGACCGCTGCGCGCGGCGGGGTCGGTCTTGCCGCCGGTCCTGGGAGAAGCGGCCCGAGGTCTCTGCCAGGCTCATACGTCCCTATTTAATTATATATTATATATATGTATGTGTATATATATATATATTTGGCAACCGCACAACGACGCGGAGGCTACGTGCTGTCCTTAAAGCGCTGGGATCGTGGTGACTGGGAGGGGGGGAAGAGGCTGTCACGGAGATGAGGCCGACTGCGGTGTGAAGATTTGGCCTTTGGATGAGGCCGTCCATGGGGCTACGCAAAGGAGATTAAAGTCTATTTATTCCCCCCAGCTGGGACCTCAGGGAAAGTTAGCAGCGTTGAGAATTAAGGGATATATTTATTCTGAGGCAATGTGTGCCCTTCCCCCTCAGTGTTCTCGGTGATAAATCGCCAAGGTCAGTAAGCCAGCTTAAGATTGCAAAATAAATCATCCATGTGAGAGAAATACATTTCCTAGTGGCTTTTTTTTTTTGGGGGGGGGGGGGCTACGAAATATATAAGTAATTTAAGCTGGCTGAACACAGCAGTTATGAGGGAAAATTGCGACTTTGCAGCCTGGAAATTGGACTGCTAGGATCACTTCTGGGGTGCTGAAAAAAGGGGTTTGGGAAAAGCTGGGGTATTAAATGTCAATTGCAGACCATGTGCTGYGCATTTATTTTCTTAATAACCCAGCGTATAATTTGCCATTTGGTAACGTGCTTGCATAACAAAACTGCATCCATTTAGCCCTGTGCACTTCAAACGCAACCTGCTTTAAAAATACATCACGGCACCAGGTTGTTGAGGCGGCCGCCTCTTGCCTCGGAGYCCATCCCCAAGCACGTTCCGGCCCCGATGATGCCCTCTTTTTGCGGTGAGAACGTCGAGCGGGAGAAGCGTGTCCTTCCCTTGGTACGTCCAGGTTGTGCCCCAAATAAAGCACCAGAACTGAAGACGCCGGGTTCGTCCGGTGAAGATACTTCACCACAACTGCAGATGCTGTTGATTTTTAATCCGGAATCCAAGGCACTGTAACCCATCCATYGCTGCCATCCCAATGCACTCTCCGGCTGGCAGAACTTTTCACCCGAGCCCTTTCCTCCTGCTTCTCCTCCCTGGAAGCGGTCACGGGGGGCCGTTTTTCCACGGCTTTTCCGGAGCTTTCCCCTCGGCCGCTTTTCCCGCAGCTCCCCTTCGCGGGCGGTGATGAAAGAGGGAAGGAACGCCAGGAATCCGGTGCAGCCTCTCCTTGTTTGCCCGGCCGCCCGCTTTGTTTCGCGCTTCCTGCAGCTGGCGGAGCAGAGGCAGCAGCCGCAGCCCCTCGGTGCCGGCGCCTCCACGCGCAGCGCCGCGGCCCAAGCCGTGCCCAGCTCCCTTCGCTGGGAAAGCCCGGGGAAATTTCATCCCGCGGCCGCACCCGGGCTGAACCGCGGCGGTATTTGCATTTGCTTCTCCTTGGAGAGCAGCCAGCCGCCCGCGCAGGGCCCTCCCCGCGCCCCGCGGGGCTGCCAAGAGCYATCGCTAAAAAAGCAGGGCTATTGCAGCAGCCGGGGGACGGGCCGGCGCTTTGTGGAGCCTTGGGCGCTGCTGGGAGGGACGAGCCGGACCCGGGGCTGGTTTCACACCCGGGTGCCTCGCCTTGGGAATACTCACTGTCCTCCTCAGGAATGCCTCACCTTGCCCTGGGAATACTGCCGCATTTTGAGTGTTTTGCCGCCTGAGCCGGGCAGGGGCACTGAGAAGGGCCCGGCTGTGTCCCTAGGCTGCATTCCCGGGATGTGCCGTGTCCCGCTCCCTTCCCGGCACCCACCCGCCTGCCCCAACCCACCAGCAATGTGGTTCCCGCTCTTCACAGCCCCTCTTGCCCTCTAGAGCAGCRTGTTCTCTTCATGAAGGGAAAACACAACTGGCCATGCACCTTTTTATTGTCTTTTCCTTTTCCTTTTCCTCTGTTTTGTTTTCTGTCCGGTGTCCTCCTGCACATCCCTGGCTCCCTGTCACGGTGAGAGCCATGGGACGTCGCCGGCAGGCGCCGTGTGCCCAGCCGTACCCCGCGTCGCCGCCTGTGCAGCAGCCCCGCGGAACAACCGCAGCTTCAACAGGAGCRGCCCATTCACGGTCAGGCCCGGGCCGACGGCACGGCACGAGCAGAGCAGCCCGCTCCGTGGATGGGAAATGGAGGGAGCGGGGGCAGCGGCTGGAGCCSGCGCTGCTCCGCTGGCCATTAACGCTGTCGCCGCGAGCGCCGCGACGCAGAGCCCGCCGGCGACACCGGCTCCCGTTGCGGGGGAACGGGACTGCCCCCTGCCGGCCCCGCGGCCCCGCAACCACCCCGGCCCCGCTAAAACTCAGCCTTTTATTTAACTCCTTGCCAGCTCCGATGCCGCGGAGACCCCTGGTGTCCCAAAGACACCCCAAGAAAGTGCCAAAAAGGAAGAAAAGCCCCCGAGAAACCCCCTTGGCCCTGGAAGGCGCGGGTGAAAGGGGCAGCCCCCGCTCCGCTGTCCCATCCCGGAGGGCCCCGTGTCCACCGTGCCCCGCGGGGCACCCCGGCTGCTCCCAGGGGCCCCATTTCCTACCCGGGGGTCCCCGGGGCTCCCGCGGCCCTGTCCCCCCCCGGCTTGGCGCTGCTGCCCAGGCCCCGTTACCTCCAGCGGGCACGGGGGGGGCAGAGCCGCCTCCACACCATCCCCATGGCCCCTTCCTCCCCTCTGCCTCCTCCTCCTCCACAGCGGGGGGGCAGCTGTGGGCCCCAGGGCGCCCCCCGAGGCTCCCCGTGCAGCCCGGGCTGCCCCACGGACCCCAGGGCTGCCCCATGGGCCCCAGGGCTGCCCCACGGGCCCCCTGCAGCCCAAGTGCCCCCTGGCCCCGAGGCGCTTCCTGCACCCCCACCAGGGTGGCCGTGGATCCAGGGGGGCCCCACGCGACCCCAGGGTGCCCCACTCACCCCCCATCGTGCTGGGCATCCCTAGGGTGCCCCACGCACCCCCCTGTGGTGCCAGGYGTCCCCTGGTGTATCCGTGTGTGCCGGGGCTCCCTTCTGGCCCCTCCGGCAGCCCTGGAGGAGGCTCAAACCAGCAGCCGTCCCCGCTGCCGTGTCCCCCCCAGCGCCCCCTTCCCCAGGGAACGCGGGGCTGCTGCTCGAGACACGTTTTTATTCCCGGTGTTTTGGGGGCACTGGAGGGCATGGAACGCCCCGCACTCGGCCCTCGCTGCTGCCCCCCTGCTCCGAACCGCAGCCGTCCGGACACAGAGGGGCCTCCGGCGCCGCTGCAACGTGCCCCTGCTCCCGGGACAGGTCCTGCGGGGAGAGAGGCGGCCGGGCAGCCCCTCACGGCGCCGGGGTGGCCGGCGGGGCCGCGCGCGCCCTCGCTCACCTGGCGCCGGCAGATGTCCAGCACGACGCCGGCACGCAGGAGGCACCAGAGCTCGCCCAGCAGCGACACCAGCACGCCCAGCAGGTCCAGCCAGCGGCCCACGGTGAGCAGCAGGATGAAGAGGCTGCCCATCCGCACCAAGACCGTCTGGTAGACGGACTGGCCCTGCTTGTGCTCCTCTGCGGGAGCGCGGCACCGTGAGCGCCCCGTGGCACCGCACGCTCCTGGGGACGCCCCCCAAGGCCCCGGGCCCGGCGCCCGCCCCGCACCTTGCATGTAGACCACGAGCAGCGCGTAGCAGATGGCGAGCGGCGTCCAGAAGCGCGCGGCCTCCGCCGGCCCCGGGAAGTCGCCGTTGAGCAGCGCCACGGCGGCCGGGTCGGCCACGGCGAAGGCCAGCGCCAGCGCGCGCCGCAGCAGGCGGGGGATGCCGTGGCCGCCGGCCAGCAGCGCGATGCAGACGCCGCAGTAGCGCGCGCGGCTGTGCAGCTCGTAGAGGGCGCAGACGTGGCGCGCCAGGCGCCGCGCGCCCGCCGCCAGCAGCGCTGCCAGCGCCGCCGCCAGCAGCAGGTTGCAGGTGGCGTGCGGCGCCCCGTCGAGCAGGAAGCCCAGGCCGCAGCGGATCCCGCAGCCCAGCGAGTACTGGCACAGCACGTAGAGCTGGCTGCCGGGGGCGCCCTGCGGGACACGCGGCGCTGGGGACACAGTGGGGGACAAGGGGACCCCTGCGCCGTGGCGGGAGGGGCGCGCGGTGCCGCTCACCTGGCCGCGCGCGAGCAGCGCGGAGGCGGCRCGCAGGGAGAACTCGAGCGCCACGAGCGCTGCCACGCGGGAGCCGGCGGCGGCCAGCACGGCGGTCAGCAGCGGCACGTGCAGCGCGTCCAGCAGCCCCCGCTGCGCCCGCAGCGCCTCCTTGTCCGCCCGCCGCTCCGCATCGCTGTGCGCGGGAGGGACAAGCTGCGCTGAGGCGCGCTGGGAGGAAGAGGAGGGCGTGAGGGTGTGGGTGGGATGCCCCCTTACTTGGCGCACTGCACGTAGAGATGGACCTTGAGGAGGTTGTAGAGCACGGAGGTGGCGCAGGCGCCCACGAGCCCTGCGGGAGGAGGAGGCCGGAGCGTCATCGTCGGCACTGCGGGGCGCCCGGCYGCCCTCCCGCGCCCTCACCTTGCAGGAGCCCGTCCAGCAGCGCCCAGGCCCCGCCAGGCAGCGCCGGCAGCCAGGAGCAGAGCAGGGACATGGCCGGGGCCGGCGCAAAGGTCTGCGGGGCGGAGGCGGCCCCGGCGCCGGCCGGGAAATCATTGCCCGGCCGCAGGAGGCGGCTCGTCGGGAGCAGCCCAAAGCGGCTCCGCGCCCGCACCCCAGAGACGGGGATGAGGACGAGGACAACGAGGTTGTCCCAGGTGGGGGACCACATGCTTCCTGGGCAGTGAAAAACAGCATTTTGGAAAAAAAAAAAAAAGAGAGAACAAAAGACAGGTGATTATTTATCTGTTTAATTAACAGATGATTATTTATCTGTTTAATTGCATTCAGGAGCCGGTCTCCCACGCGCCAGCTGAGGGCCTTGCAGCTCGGCACACGCGGCCGGTGCAGGGGAGGCTGCAGCCCCTAACACGGCTCCTGCTGCTGTGGGCCAGGGCGGCCCCAGGTCACCCTGGGCTCCGCTTTGCAAGGTCTGAAATCAGACCCTCCTAGGCCAGAAGGCAGCAGTGGCCGCTCTTCCCCCGCCTCCCTCCCGCTCCAATTCCTATTTTTAGGGCCGCCGCTTTCCCGCTCCTGGGGGAAACAAGACCCTTCTGGGCTCAGATCGCTGCAAAGGCCAATCTGCCCATTTCCCTCCAGAATTCCCGAACGCGGCTCCGTGCCCACGAGGATGCTGAAGCGGGGGCGGTTGGAGCTCCCAGCACAAACCCAAACTGCACAGGTCACATCCCGAGGCGGCAGCCAAGGCTCCTACAGGCGAGAGCTGCTGCCGGCCCCGGGACTCGAATGCTTCAGGCCGCGCTGTCATCACCCGGCCGGAGCGGGACAGCTCCGGCAGCAGGGAAAGAAGCAGCGGGGACAGCAAAGGTGCCTCCCTGCACGGCGAAACTCCCGGGGTTTCCAGTGGCCTTGGGCCTCCATCGTCTTCCTCACCAGATCCGGCAGCTCCGAGTCCTCCAAGATGCCCCCCAAATTGCTGGGAAATCACCAACGAGGGAGAAAATGCACCCCCCATTGCACCCAAATGCACCCAAATCTGGGTGGCCAGATCTGAGTTACCAATGAATATTTATTTGGGGTGGGGCCAAGGAAGCAGATGTACATACATATACATTCGGTCACATAACTTTTCTCCCTCCCCTGAAAAAAAAAAAAAAAAAAAGGCCCCGTGAACATATATTACAGGAGGTGTTTGGCTCCTTTGGAGAGCTCCAGCGATGCCCGGGCGCTGAGGACGCGGGGGCTGCGGGAAGGGCTCCGCGCTCCCCCAGCTGCAGCCGCGCGCGGTGTCGGGAGCCCGGGGCGGCCGCGCACAGCCGGTCCCCTATGGCCGCGCGCGGTGCCCGGGGCTCCCTCTGGCCTCGGCGCGAGGCTGTGTCGGGGGCGGTCCCGCACGCGGCGGTCCTGTCAGCGAGGGGAGAACATGCGCGGTGGCGACTCTGCGGCTGCCGGTCTTGCCCCGTCGGGCACAAAGCAACAGGTCTGCTCGGCCGCAGGGCACGTGGGTCTGTCTGTGCTCCTGCCCTGACGCCAAGGATGTCTCTGCTCCAYGGGTGGCCTGTCCAGAGGCGGCTGGAGAGTCCGTGCGGCCAAGGCGGCCCCGTGTGCAGTGCGGCGAAGCCTCCGCGTGCCCGGSAGCTGCGGCTGCCGGCGCATCCCGGCGGCACCGCGTGGCGGATCCGGGGCGCCGGAGCCTGCGCACGCGCTCCCCGCGTGGCTGCCGTGCCGGCCGGCCCGTCCCCAGCGCCGCTAGCACCACGGGTCGCGCTCAGCCCGCCCGCGGCACAGGCTGTCGCTRCGCTGCCAGGCACTGTCAATGAGGCTCTGGGCGTCTTCGCACTTCTTCTTCACGGCCGCATCCAGGATGGCCTTGTGCAGCAGATCTACCTGAAACGCGGACGCCACACAAGTCACTAACTCCGCTTCCCTCTCCCTCTTTTACAAAACCTCCTCAAACAGCCAAGGAAGTCCCTTGTGTTATCAGTCCTGGGGTCCACTTCCAGCCCTCACTCTGGGAACCTTCCCCTGACCTTCATCTGATCCTGCCCGCTCCGTGCAACCTCCCACCCGCTCTGCACTTGAGGAGCAGTGGGAACAGCTGTGGATGCAGGAGCTTTGCAGCTCCCTGCTCTCTACGGGAGGGGCAGATGGTTGGGTTGGCCCCACTTCTCCATACGGAAAAGCCTTTGTCCCTTTTCTCCGAGGTGCCTTGGTCCTGTTTGCCCTGCAGCTCCGGGAGAAGTGTGCTGCACCCCACATGCTCACCTGGTAGATGTTTTTCCATGCAGTGTTCAGTGCCGAGAGGAACCTSTCCAGTTCTGTAGTGCAACTAAAATAGAGGACCCAGGGGGGCAGGAACTGCTCGCGGTCCTGAGCAAACTCCTACAAACCAAGGGAGAAGCGCAGGGCGGTCAGCAGAGCAGCGGAGCCCAGGCCGGGCCCAGCCAGGCGCCACCGCGGCGCTCCACACTCACCAGGATACAGTATTCCTTGCCGACCTCCGTGGAGACGGTGGCGATATCGGTGAGCTCCACGGTGCCCAGGGAGCGGAAGAAGCTGGTCTGGCAGTCCTCGTGGCACGTGAAGGCCTTCTCGTCCGTGAGCACAAGGCAGCAGGGGACACAAGGCGTGGGGGCGACACCTTGGGGGATTACCTGCGTGGGTGGAAAGGAACGTGAGGGGAGCCCCTTTCCGTGGATGTCACACACCTCAGTCATCACCACCAGTCCCTCCTGCAGCCCCATACCCRCTTTGGGGAGCTCATTCCCGGTGACTCCCCATCCCAGCCCCAGGAGGARCGCGGGAAGGCTGAGCCCCGAGGCAGGCACGGCGCAGCGCAGGGCGCTCACCCCTTTGGAGACAGCCTGGCAGAAGTACTGCATCCAGTCGGCCATGTCGGCCTCGTTGTCGGCGCTCAGCTCCAGCGAGGGCCGGTCCGTGAGGATCACCTGGAAGGAGTGGGGCCGCTCGGTGGTGTTGGAGCGCCGGCATCCCCCGCATTGCTCACCGCTGCGAGAGGGCAAGGGGGAGATGAGCAGGGCAGAACGGACAGACCGGGCAGCCCCCGCCGTCCCTGGGCTTTGCACCGCTCCCCTTCCCCACCAGCCCTGGCTTCCATCCGCCTCTTGGAGCAGCTCCCAGCACCCCATGCAGATGGTCCAGGAGCAGCCCCCACTCTGCACACCGCGGTGGAAGGGAGCTGCACGTGGTGGCTTTGCAGGCATCTCCCAGTGTGGCTCCTGCAGGAGGCTCTTGGCCCGTCAGAGGCCGATCCCCCACCACAGGTTTGGCTTGGCGTGCAGAACCTGGGAGGAAACCACCTCGTCTCCACAACAGGCTTGGAGTCAAATCAAATGCCCATCTACGTCCAGCCAGGAGTGAGCAGGGAGCTGTTGTTCCCCAGCCTCCGACATACCAAGGTCCTGCAGCACGGACTGGGGCTCCATCAGCCCCAGTCACCCAGAGGAGCTCTCATCCCCATGAACTCTCCCAGGTTTGAAGGCTGCCCCCTCGCGCTACTCACCCCATGTTGATGGAGAGCAGAGGGGTGACGTCTGTGCGGTCCGGGTACTGGTACAAAATCCCGTTGCTGCAGTTGGGGGAAAGGAGAGACCCAGTCAGCAATGGGAGTGAGCCCAGCTGAGCAAACCCCCATCTCCCCGGGCCCTCCGTGGGGCCGCGATCCCGCTGCCAGCAGCCGAGCCTGGGGGCTTCACCTGAGGTTCCTGGGCGCCCCTCCAGGCCCCAGGACCTCCTGCTAGGCCCACCGCGCAGCCCCGGGGCCCCACCTGAGCACCACGAAGCAGGTCTTCCACTGCTCCTTGCCCAGGTACGAGGTCCCCGCCTTGTAGTGCAGGACGCCGTCCTTCGTGACGGTGTTTTCAGCAGAGGAGCAGCTGTTGGGAGCGGGTCCCAGCGCCTCGTCCAGCGGGTCCTCCCAGTGCACCAGGCCATAGAAACGCACGACCACGTCGCAGGCCTGTGAGAAACGGGCAGAGAAGTGAGCGGGAGGGGTTCTCCCCCCTGAGCCCTCCCCACGCTCAGTGACGGTTGGAGTAGCCCCGCTCACCTCGCACTTGGACTCCTGCGCCACAAACTTGGCGAGCGCCAGTTTCTCCATGGTGGCGTCCGTGAGGATACTGGGGTAAGGGGGCTCCCGGCACCCCTTGATCATGGCTGACTTCAAGGAGGCCAGGAAGAACCTGAGAAGAAGACAGAGATCTCCAGTGAGGCCAGGCCCTGACTGTACCAGGAGAGACGGAGAGCCAAAAAGGCTTCCCCTGCGCGTGGGGCTCAGCCCGGGGGTCCTACTTTTTAGAGGGAAGGATCTGAAAATTAGCCACAGATCAAGGGGGACTGCAAAGCTTGATCTCCAGGAAGGAGCTGGGTGAGCTGTGAACCGAAAGAGCACCCCGGGAGACAGACACACATCCCCAGCACCTGACAGTGTGACCTCATGGGCCCTGCAGAGGAACAGGTCACCTTCTGGAGCTGGCAACGTAACAACGGACCTGGGAACTTGCTGTGGAACCCTGAAACTGAAGACCTGGGAGCCTGCAACTCAAGACCTCATGCCAGCTCATCACAAGGCACACAGGGTCGCTGGCCCGGGGCTGCCAGCCATGAGAGGCACACTGGGGACCGCAGTGTATTTCCAGGGAAGCCTCTGCAGCGCTTGGGCTTTCAACTTTCAACACTGTTCCACGCCTTTCCAGCTGTCCGCAGAGCTCGGCGGGTGGCCTCAGAGCAAACTTCAACCCCTCGTTGGCTGCAGGCCAGTGAGGGGCTGACCCTTGAGYTTCTTGCCTTTCCCAAACCGTGCTGGGAGCCCCCGGTGCTGGTGGAGGCCCTGTGGGCCCGAGGCAAGCGCCGCGTTGACCGCACGGTCCCTGCTTACTCGGTGAGGGCGACGTCTGCCGTGTCGAGCAGGAACTGCTTCCTCCGGTTGGTGCACACCAGAGTCACCGTCTGCTGATCCAGCCCAACCTGCGCCACACACAAGGCAGCTTCAGGAAGCGGGACAAAGTTAGGCCCGACCTCGCAGAAAGCCCCTGTGGTTTCACGGTGAGGCTTTGGATCCCTGTGCAACCAAACTGATGAGCAGACCCCTCCAACTCCCATTACCTCCTCCTGCTCCTCCCGGGCCTGCTGCCCGGCTGCTCCAAGGCAGCACTCACCGAAATGTAGTCCAGCTCGTTATAGGAAACAGCCTCCTCCACCATGTACGGCTTCTCCGCTGCCCCTGGACAGACACAAAGAGCCTCATGAACGGGGGCAAAGCAGCCCGTGCTGCCCAAATCCAGGCTGCAAGCCGAGGATCAGGCAACCCTTCCTCCCCTTGGCTTTCCAGCCCTCCAAGGGGTTAAATCCTTGCTGAACAAGGGCTCTGCAGGTTGTTACGRTGGCCCAGACAAGCCCAGAGGCCATGTGGAAGGGCTACCTTTCCGGATCAGGTACACATAACAATCCGTCAGCAGGACGTAGATGAGCTGAAGGTTGCCCTCCATGTGCCCCGTGCTCATGCGGATCATCTGTGTGGAGAGAGAGGGAAGAAGAGCCCTTTGGCTGTGGCTGAAGCAGGAACGCAACCCAGGACTCTGCTGGAGAACAGCCTGGGGCATCTACCCGGGTGTCGCTGCCTTACCCTGAACAGCTGCTCCTCATTCTCCCGAAAGACATGGATCATCAGTAGCAGGAGATGGTTGTTGTCTACCCTGTGAAGACAGACAACGGGAAGCTGAAAGACAGGACAGAGAAATGTGCAGCAGAGGAGAGCCCAGGAGGAGTAATCCTGTCCTCATTGAACCTGTGCATGTTAGGGCACCTGCAGGACCACAAGACCTTCTCCTGACCATTACCCCTTGAGCATCATCTTCATCCYGGAAAAGGAGAGGCTTTGTCCACCAAACTGAGGATTAAGGGAAACGTTTTGTTTGGGAGATGCTCTCTGTGCTCCCACAAGGCCCCCACGAACTGAGTTAAGCTAAGCCAGCCTCACCTGAACTCAGAGGGGTGACTCAGCTCTGAAGGACTTCCCTGACCTTCCTCCACACCAGAGTCCTCAGCGCTACTTGCGGAAGGGCTGGGCTGCTCCTTCTTCAGCTCACAGACAACCTCTGGGTTGGTGGTTTCTGTCTGGCCAACTTGGGGTTCATCAGCTGCCCTTCCAGAGTCTTCTACTGCCCCAGCTGCTTTTCCCTCTCCCTCTCCACTTTCTTCTTGTTCAGGAGCCGCAAGGCTACCAGAAACATGTGGCGGTTGGCCAGGCCCTGGAGAGTCATGGTGGCCACCACCTGATGCAGAAGTGTTTGGACTCTCAACGGTAAAGCGGTAGAAGTCCATGGGGGCYGAAATGCCCTCACTAAGGTCGCCAGAGGACGATCCATCGGGAGTCTCCCCTGGCGTGCCGCTCCGAAAGGACTGCCCGGGGTGCTCGAGCGGGGCGCTCCAACCGCCGGGATCCAGCTGCCCGTTCAGCCTGTCCATCACCTTGCTCAGTGGCTGTCCCACGCTCTCCATGGACGTGTCCTTCATCTCGGGGATGCGCAGGGCCAGCTGGCCCAGGGCAGAGCGCTCAGCGCTCTCTTCTGGCCCGCCTGGGCTCGGTTCCCCTGCAGGAGCAGGACCATCGACTCCAGGAGGGTCATCTCTGTCACTCGGTCCGTTCACCTCCTTATCGCCACCAGCCTGCTGGGCGCTGGACTCGGGTACTGGGGCTGCAGGACTGTTCACTGCTTCCTCCGGCTTCGCTTTCTTCTTCTTGCCCGCTTTCTTCCTCTTGGCTAACCTGCACAAACACCAACACAGACGTCACTCATCTTCCATAGAATCCCAGAATTCCAGAATGGGTGAGGTTGGAAGGGACCTCTAGAGATCATCCAGTCCACCCCCCTGCTCCAGGAGGGACACCCAGAGCACGGGACACAGGGTGGCAGCCAGGCGGGTTTTGAAGACCTCCAGAGCCCCCCTGGGCAGCCTTTTCTTGCTTAGATTTTTGCAATACGGAAAGGGGGGCCCAATCTGCCACAACAATCTTCTTGGGGGGTTATCCCTAGCACAGAGAAATCAGGAATATGATATGACGCCACCTCTCTAGCCAGAGCCGGGATTTGCCAGGCTCTGTGTCAACCACTTTAAAGGCAGAAAGAACGAAAAATGAAAAAAGAAAAACTGCAGAGCATGGAGAGTTTCCACCCATCTGGAAGAGTAAAGAGGTGTCTTCCACTGGACACAACAACTTGAGTCTCCTTTGGCTGCAAAGAGGATCCACGAAGAGATGGGGAGCAAAACTGGCATGGGAGAAATCACTGTTTGAGAGGAGGATGCTGAGCAGGAAGCTGTTTTCCTGGAGAGGGAATAGGGAGGGGAATGCCCTATCCCCAGCTGCCAGAAGAGGGAGATGCAGCGTGGAGCCCGCTCCAGCCCAACAGCTTCCTGGGAAAACCGGCCTGGAAGTGGAACTTGAACAATTAAGTGGAAGTGTTTGGACACCCAATAATGGCCATGGCCCTGAGGTGCTGCCAGGTCACTTGGCACTGCAGCCCTCCCGTTCGGAAGCGAGCAGGATGCTCCCCCTTCTGCAGGGAGCAGGGCAGAGATCTCTCCTCGGTGCCCCAGGCTGCCAGAAGAAACCAGGGCACAAAGCCCAGCCCTGCTGGGCTGCCTTGGGGTGCAGACAGGGTTTGTGCTCTCTGTCCGGGTTCAGGAGCTCCTGGGGACCCCCGAGGCTGCAAGGAGGGCAGTGGGAAGACAGCACAGGGAAGAGAGGACCCGAGAGCCAAGATAGCTGCAAACCTGCCACCAAGTGGAGAAATATTAAAACTGAAAGCACCCGGCTCCCTTTCAGCTCTGGTAGACTGTTGGGCACAGAGATCGCCGCCGCCGTGGCAGCTCCATCCCTACCTGATGACCTCCAGCTCGGTGCAGCTCTCAGACTGGTCGGTGCCCTCGGGGGTGGCCTCAGCYCTGTCCTGGGAAGCCGCGTGCACCGGCGTGGCCTCGGCGGAGGACGGCGCGTCGCCTCTCTCCTCGTTGAAGGGGTTGTAGCGCTGCGTGGGGCTCTTCACAGCGGCCTTGCTGCCGTTGGCCTCCGAGGCGGCGGAGCGCGGGCAGCTCAGCGTGTCCGTGAGGTCTCCATCTGGCAAAGACAAGAGTGGAGAAGTGGGGTCCACATCTCACGTCGCTGGCGGCCCAGGAAGCCCTAGAGGAAGAGCTGGATGTTAAATCAAGCAAAGCGGGACGCTGGGGACACTACATGGTGACAGAGGGCCTGCAGGGCACCATCCACTGCCGGGGACCCCCGCAGAGCCTGTGCTCCTTGAGAGAGGGTCAGAGACCGGCGGGGACACCAGCGTGGCTCTGCGTCTGGCACCCACTAGAAAGAGCCTGGAAACAAAAGCTCCGTCGCGCGGGAGCCTGCGTGGGGGTTAGAAGAGAGCGGCCGCATCCCCACGTAGGAATCGCCGGATCGCGGGGCCGCGGCGCCCTTGGTGAGACGGGAGAAACGCGCGGAGAGCCCTCGATGGAAAGGCTGCAGCTCCCGGGAATCCTGCCCCGAGAGGCCGAGCTCCCAGGGCGCCCGCCTGCCTGGCTCTGAACTCCAGATGCGCACCCCRGGTTGGGGCCCAGGCCTCACCGCAGGGCCCCCCACAACGGAGGCAGGGGGACRGGCACCGTGCCACCCTGAGCGGGAACCTCGCGGGGCCTTCCCCAAAATGGGGACAACGTGGGAAGGCTCGGGGCCGGCAGAGCTGCAGGGACGGGGCGTCCCACAGCGCTCCGTGCTCCCTTCGCCCAGAGGACGCCTGCGTGCCCAGGAGGGTGACGGGCTGGCGCCGGGAGGGCGCAGCGCCCACAGCGCAGCACAACTCACCTGCGGCGCGTTAGTCTGAACAGAGAAAGGGGGAGTCAGGAAAGGGCTGCAGGAGTCATGCTCGGTGTCACCTGCCCGCACATTCCAGGTTAAGGAAGGTTAGCCCCGTCCTCCTCTTCTCCAATGCCATTTCCAAAGCCAATGAGAAACCACTCRGTAGACAGTGAATCCCCTTCCACACAAAATAACTATGGACAAATGGCAAGGAATACATCCCTGCTGCCCACCATCACCTGCTCCACCAGGAGCTCAGAGACAACCTGAGCCCTCCTCCATGTGAAATGGGTGCTGGGGAGGTCGCTGGCGCTCGCCCTCAGCGCAGGGCAGAGGAGCAGCCAAGAGACACTCCAGGCTGCTCCATCCCGGCTCTTCCCGGTGGATGGGAAGAGCCCTGGGGCAAGGGGAGGCCGATGGTCGCCCGTGACTGCGGTGCAGAGGGTGCAGCTGGTGCCGGGCCGGCTGCTCGCGCCGTTCCGTGACAAYGGGAACGGCTCCGTGCGCCGCGCGAGGAAGAAGGTGAAAAGGAGCGTGTTAGAGCCTGGCAACCACCYGCGTGGAATTCAGGCAGAATGTCCCCAAACACTTAGGTGGGATGGCTGAAGCAACTCGGACTGAAGGCTGTGTCCACATTTTGGTTACACAGATATGAGTGTAGGAGCAAAGCTGCCCATGGACAAATTACTAAGGGCAAATTATTATTATTAAGGACAAATTATTATTATTAAGGACAAATTATTATTATCTAACGTGGGCATGTACACGTGGCTCTGAAAGCCAGTTGGAGCCCAATCACACTCGAAATTTCAGGAAAAATTGATGGTGCCATGGGAGACGAGATGCTTCAGCTCCCAGTTAGGGGGAATCCTTTTATCTCTTTTCTGCCTTTGCCGAATTCCATCGGCACGTGGTGCCTGCTGGTTAGGAAATGAAGTGGGGAGCATGCAGCAAGCTTCGGGATAGCAGCAATGCAGAGAGAAAACCAAAAGGTTGTAACACGTGAGTATGTCCCACCTTCCCAGTCTCTGCTGGGCATGGACTGCATTGCTGGAAAGACATCTCCAAAATCATAATCTACAAAAACGAGGATAAAACTCAGGATTAGAAACACAAGTAGTGGGGAGGTAGGGAGACAGGGGAGCGTGTGAGGGGTGAGACTGGGGAGGGGGACAGTCGGGGAGAGAAATGAAACAACCTTCCACGGGTGTCTGAAACGCATGAGAAAATAGTTAGGGAACATGGATGGGAAGGGAACCGGCTGCAGAACGGTTGTTACTGCTGGATGTTGGGTGTTGTGGAAGCTGCAACCAGACCTGCGAAGGATGAGTGAGTTGCTGKGAAGCAAACATGGTGTCACTCAATGCTTGTGCATCCAGCCCCAACTGCTCTCATCAGGGAACCCCTTTGAGAAGCAGTTTCAGTGCTTTGTGCCTCGGTTTCCCCACTTCATGTCCACTTCCCACAGCTACTGCGATGTTTGATTCATTCATGTTTGTAAAACCAAGAGTCTGATTAGGGGGAAAAACTTGTCCTCTGAGCTTAACACCCCAAACTCCACCAACATTCCCAAGGTATCAAGATGCTCCTGCTAAAATGATGAGGAGTGAGCTAGTTAATGAAGCTGAAGGGCACAGAAAGGCTGCGGAGATCCCACAAACAAGTGGGGAGGATGGCAGCAACCTCGTTCCTAAGGAGCCTGACACAGCCTCCTTCTTGCTCCCACAACTGGGGACAGCATTTCTGGGTCCCCTCTACACAAGGGGAAGCTGAGACACAGAGCCAGCCACTGCCCGGACACAGGGAATAACCAGAATGATGCTGAGATCAGATTCTAGCTCCAAAAGCCCTTGGATCCCTTCTTCAAATCCTCCTTCTGCCCACCCTCTGGACAGGATGGAGAGCGCAGACCATGCCAAGTGACACCCCTTGCCCTGTTGATACCGACAGGTAGCCGGACTGGCACCAGGACATGTTCTGCTGATGGAGGACCAGGAAGACCAGCCACAGCGGGGCAACATGCAGCGAAACATCTGCCTTTGCAAAGCCTCTGGGGACCGAAGAGCTCCATCCCCTGACCTTTAGGGCTGAGTTCCTTGTRTTGTCTCCAACTTACCCAAGATGCTGCCCACAGGCTGGTCATGCCAAGACACGTGTGAGTTGGCTGGGAGAGGGAGGGAACGCGCAGGGCTTTGGCACATAAAGAAACCATCACAGTTTGATAGGTGAGTGAGATGCTGCTGCTCTGTACACGCGGGCAAACCACGATGCCTCCCTGCTCTCTCGCTGGTGGCTCTGCACCATTTCACACGTGAGCACGGGCACCACGGATGAGCGCAAAGCAGTGCGGGGTGTCCCAGCTAAAACGCGCTGAAACGGTGCTCGTGCCCAACCCTGTGTCTACATCTTGTCTCCCTGCCTGCTCCATCGCAGTGTCTTTAAGGACTGCAGTTTCTGTCTTGGATGGGTGACTAGTTAATTTTGGTGATGAAAGGCAGCCTGTTACTTCCAGAYCTTCGTCTTGGCCTAGACCTTCGTCTCAGGAGGAATCTGTCTGTATGTGGACTCAGTTCTGAACTCACTGCATCAACTTAACACATCACTGCATCTATCCCAGACCCCCCTGATCTTTCTTCATTGCAACTTCCTCCAAAAAGAAAGCAGCCCAGTGTACTTGGCTGGACTCAGAGGGGCAGCAGTAGCGCTGTTCCTTCCTATGACGTTGCTTCGTGTACCGTAGGAGCTCCCTGCTCCAGCCTGCAGGAGGGAAAGGGGGTAGATGCAAGGCAGATTTCTTCTCAGTCCATCAGGAACAACACCCAGCCCATCCTAGCCCTGATGTGGATAAGGAGTTAAGCCCAAAAACTTATGAGGCTGCTCAAGATAAGATGCATGAACAATAAAACAGCAGCTCTGGGAGGACTGGCAGCCTCTTTCTCAGATTGCAGTCACGGATGAAAGACTTTGGAAACTATTCCCCTCCATCTCTAGTGTATATRGAGCCCTGAACTGCAGAACAAGCACTTTAAAAAGCTCCCCTACAGACCTGTGTAACTGCACCAAAATGGGGTTCACCCTCAGATATGGGCCCAGCTTTCGTTCCATGGGGAAATTTCACCAGTCTTTCCAAAACACATGGAAATACGGCCTGATGAACTGGCATAGCATGTTCTCCTCTCCCTGTCTCAGGTAAAATAGAATCATAGAATCATTATGGTTGGAAAAGACCTTCAAGATCATCACGTCCAGCTGTAAACCCTTCAAGATCATCCTGCTAAACCATGTCCCCAGTTGCCTCCTTGACACGTTTCTTGAGCACTGCCAGGGTCGGTGACTCCACCACTTCCCTGGGCAGCCTGTTCCAATGCTTGACTGCTCTTTCTGCATAGATTTTTTTTCTGATATCCTACCTGAACCTCCCCTGGCATAACTTGAGGCCATTTTCTCTTGTCCTATTGGCAGATATTTTGGAGAAGGCACCAACCTTGCCCACACGACAGCCTCCTTCCAGGCAGAGAGCAGAGAGACGTAAAGAGGGTTTTTGCAGCTTAAACCCCAGTGCAGCACTGCCCTCTCCTTTCTCTTGGCYGTGGAGGTGCAGTTCAAAGACAAACTTCTGGATCTCTCTTTGCTCTCCTCCTCTCCTCTGGCCCATCATTTGCCACGTCATTCCGCCTCTGCCCTGGCCAACAGTTCAGCCAACGGGGGAGTAGGAATGTGCAGGGCTGACTCCACAGCTCTAGTTGTACCCCAACCAAAACACCCCGGACCCACAAAACTCCAGCCCTCGGAGGCTGCTTACCTTCGCTGGACGGAGCAATGGCGCTGTCATCCCACTCCAGGTTGGTGGAGGTGACYGAGTTGAAGGAGTTGAGAGACAGGCTGTCCGAGCCGTGCACTGAGCTGGGCAGGCGCTCCTCAAAGTCCAGCAGGTACTGAGGTTTGTAGTAATCCGGCATGTAYGGTGCCAGATCCAGGTAAGGAGCATCCTGCAGAGAAACAAACACGGAGAGGCTCAGACTCTTGGTCGCCGCTGCTCCGAGACGGCGAGATAAAAAATACTGCCCCTCACCAGATCCAAGTCAAAGCGGATGAACTCCAGTCCAGACACCAGCGTTAAGAACAGGGTCAGATGATCATGACTGCAAACCAGGGCATTCCTGCAACATGGAGAATACAGAGRAGCTTTAGAGGAGTGGGAAAGGGAAGGAACAGCTACAAGCACCCTTCTGTTTCCTCAGTCTTGGTGGCATGTCCTGAGCCACGGCGCAAACAGCCCCAGAGCTCAGCAGCTTCTTGAAAAACACAGAAGAAGGTGTGGGTAGGGCTGGGAGTAGAAGCAGTGAAGAGAAAACAGGCTTGCAGGCCCTCTGGCAGGGCAGTGCCTCCACCTCCGGGACYCTTGTAATGATCATATCCTCTACAAAACCCTCTACAATAAGGAAAGATAAGACTCTTATCAACTGCTTGTTTCCCATTGGTAAAATAGGCTTCTGAGAAGGAGGGAGTACAATGTCCACAAGACCAAAGAAGAATAAACTGGGATACTCACTTGACATAGTACTTGTGTAGCAGGTTTAGATTCTCCTGAAACAGCCTCAAGTAGCTCTCCAAGGAGTTTTCATTAAGGGCTAGGTACAGCCAAGCCCGGCCTAAAAACGAAGCAGCAGAGAGATTTATCTATAGATCTCCAGAGAATCTACCCAAATGACCAAATGTAGACACTTGCTTGCAACTGGCAACTGTGATTGATAACTTTTTCATCYTTAGAAGGACGCCTTTCACTTTGGTTCTGTATTTTTAGTGCTATCGTGTACACTCCCATCTCTCTGGCCTGATAAAGGGCGAGCAGCATCAAGCACTGAGCTGCCTACTAACCCTGCAGGGCTGTCTGGAGCCCCAGGCCCCAAATGTGACCAGCACAACCTGCCCGGGTCTCCTGCTGCATGTCCCCACGCCAAAGTTTGTCATCAATGGCAATGTCTGCAAATACTCACTGCGCCCCAGGTTGGTGGCCACGTGCTGAAGCACTTCTATCTGTTTGATGGCTTCCCGGCGGGTGAAGTGAACAACCAGCACCCAGTAGCCTGAGGAAAGATCTTGCAGCCTGGAAGAAGAGCGGCCCAGAAGAGGATTAAGCAAAGGCTTCTTTATCTCCATCCCAGTTATTCCTTACATGACTTCCCTATGCTTAGGCAAGGCGCAGCAACAGGCTACGGACATGTCAGCATGGCGAGAAGCATCGGACAGTCCACCAGGAAATCCTATGGGCTCAAAACRTGTTGGGCTGCACTCACCCATAGAGCAGAGCATGGTCCAGATGTTCACAGAGCCGCTGCAGGACCTTGTCGTGGTTCCTGATGGCCGGGGTCTCATCTTCACAAGCAGCAAAGTAGCTCTGCAGCTGCAAATGGAGGAGGAAATGCCTGAAACGGCCTTCTCGGCGACGCCTGCACACTCACAAGAGGCATTTGAAACAGCATTTGTGTCTCTCAGCTTGCTAAGCTGTGACACAAGTTACCTTTAGGGAGCAGCAGTTGTCTTTTACGGGACTCTAAAGGCAACGACACCCAAGGGGAACTTCACTCAGAGACTGGTGCCCATTTCTGAGATGAACCAGCACAGGCCGCTTCCCGTTCGCTGGGCAGACGGGCTGCCCGGCCTTCTCCTTCAGGGCTAACACAAGGACAGGATTTTCGCTGGCTCTCCCACAGCGGTTTAGCCACCGCAAAGCAGCTCAGAGCAAGGCAGACAAATTGGTCTGAATGRTTTTTCTCTGCTGGGATGAGGCCACATTGCTGCTAGGGCCTCACRCCGTGGAGCTGCTGCTTTCTTAAAAATGGGGACTGCCTGATTTGTCCTCGTTAACCTTTGTGCAGCTGCAAGAGGACAGTGAGGTTAGGGATGAGGTCAGTTCTGGCCCTGCAACCTGCTCACAACTGAGTCTTGCAGACTTGATGCAACGCAAACTGTTTCCCCCAAACGTCACTCGTTAGAAATCCTAGAAACCCCCTTACACCCAAATCCTGCTTCCCCTCCCAGCTACCCATGCCCTTCTCCTGCCCCTAGTGCTTAGAGATCTATCCAGCTGCTTGCACCACAGGTTGCTCTCGCAGGATGTCACCTCAACACRATATTGCTCTGGCCGGGGCTAAGTGAGCATGGGCAACACAGCACCTGGACACACACTGCATGACCTTGTGTGTTCTTGCCATGCCTCGCTAGTTAACATTTAAAATTAGATTAAAAATAAAATTAGATTAAAATAAAGCCTGCACAGAACAGKGCGGTATCCTTTCCAAGCTCTGGGTTCCTATCCCAAAATCACGAGCTGCTCTAGGAAAGACAACCGTGAACTTGGAAACTCTTCTGTGCCCCAATGACTGAGCAAACGCGGTAAGACCTTGGGGGTTCATCCTGCAAAGCCAACACACAACCCGCACTGACGGTCGCGGAGCGGCCACTCAAACACAGCCACCTCCTGACGTCAGGCTCCCACCGTTCCAAACTTCTGTGTCACCAGCACAAACCCTGCTGCACCGGAGCTATCAGCAAGACCTTAGGACTGACCTGGGCAAACCACTGGATAAGAGCGAAGATACCGCAGCACAATCGCAGTTCTGCACTGAAAGGCTCGTGTTGAGGCTGTGAGAAACACCTGACTGTGTTTCTCAGACCTGACTTGTCTCCCTAAGTCAGAAGCTGTTTTCTCCTCTGGAACAACTACTGCAACCAAAGAAGCTCTTTGAGGAAATCACCCGGTCTGGGTGTAAAATTTATCAAGGGGACAGACAGAGAGCATCTCCCCAGCCCTGGGGGGGCCGTTCCCAGCAATGCTGTTAAAAATATGAATCTATCTCGTAGCTTGAAGATCTCTCATCTCTTTGGAAACAGCAGCTCTTGGCTAACGTGAGGGAGTCAGGCATGTTCCTGCAGGGAGCCAGTCCCGTCCCTTACGTGGGAAAGAGCTGTTGAGCTGCAGGAACCAGGGCCAAATCCCCTCCTCCGAGCTCATGGCCCAATTCTGCCAGTGCCAACACCATCCGAGCAAGGTGGTAAATTCCCTGGAGCAGGAAACGTGCCATAAAGGTTGGATTCAGAGTGGCCTGCAGGTTCTCCTGTGATTCACGGTCTTCGGCTGTGTCTGGGGGAGATGATGTGGTGGGAGGAGAAGACCCTCATACCCCACTACCCACAAATGGTTTCAGGAGCCACCTGATGCCAGTGCTCAAATGCATTCCTGCATCGAGGAACAAAGCCATAACTTAGAGCCGTGTCCCTCAAGTGATGGACAGAGACACAGGGGACCTCAGAGAACTTCTGATCATGAGCCTGGAGCAGCCCCTTGGCTTGGAGSAGATGGGATGCTCTCGGATGGAGGAAAAAACCCACAGACTGGTTAGAATGGGGTGGTTTATAAAATAAATGCCTGGCTGGAGCGAAGGCTGGATTCCCCTGCGCTGGGACGTGAGTGCAGTGCAGCTGGTCCTCTTCCAGCCCCTGGGGAGGAGGCGGCTCTTCTGCAGCGTGTGGAAATGAGGGCAGGAAAAACGAAATAGAAACGTGTTCTTCTACAACATGAGTTCCTTTCACAACACAGGCTTCCAACGGGGAGCCGCAGAGCTCCACGCGTGCCTGCTCCTCAGGAAGGTCATGCTGAAGAAAACTCTGTGTCTTGGCTGCTGACAGGAGGATTTGCTCTTTACAGACGCTGGGCATGCAAAAGCGATGAGCAAGTAGAAGTGGTTCTTCTTTTTCTTTCCTTCCTTCCCCAAAACAACTTAGATCATCTCGGCCTTTGTGGGAGCCCTCCCTGCAGCCCGTTCCCAGCTTCCAACCCGCTCCGACTCCGCAGTGGAGCTACCCAGACGGAGCGGCCGGCTGCTTCACCGGCAGCTCTGCCCCTGCTACCAGGGGAAGTTCATCACATGTYCCGTCCCGGGCAAAACCAGGGGGTTGCCTCATCCCAACGTCTCTGAGCACCAAGAAGTACCAGCAAACTTCCGAAAGGTCCATTTCTGTGCTCCCAAAAAAGCCAAGTCTTTCCCTATGAAAGGACCTACATTTTGAAGGCTTCCTCGTGCAGGACTTTCAGAGCAGAGTTACCTTCAGCTGCTCTGCAAGGGGCAGAGCCTCCTGCACGATGAGTCAGCTCCACCCTGGCAGCAGTGCTGGCCTTGTGGGCAACGACTACAAGGTACCAGGCAGCTTTCCTGCTTGCCATGGGACTGTGCAATGTATATATACGTATATACATAGAGATGCCCTGGCAGCCCGTCCATTTAGAGCTCCTCACCAAAGGAAAAACAAGAAGAGTCATCAGCTTCGCGCCAACAGCAAGTAATTACAGTGCAAGTGTCTGTGTTGGACCACGCTGTGCCGGTAACGTGGCTGTTTGCTGGAGAGCAGCAGCGCCCGGGGAGCTGCGCCCGCCACGCAGCACCCACAACCCCAACCTACCCGTGCGTTTTCATGTGGCGTCTACGCCGGCAAACAGCCACGAAGCACAAATGAACGTGTGGAAACCCAGGCCTCCCTAACGACCGCGGCGCACGTACAACCCGTTTGGGAAGTGGCCATCCAGCTTTTGTCAGCTCTCCATTGGTGACGCATCCACCAAGCCCTGAAATACCTGCGTGACGACCAGGGCTGAAGCCAGAAGCACCCGGAGGGAGGCAAGCAAAGAGGTCAGGAAGCTGCATGAAGGCAGCGTTGGGTTGGGAACACTCATTTCTGYGCAATCCCCCGGTCTCCTTGGCGCTCCCAAAGCAGGGGGATGCCGCGAGCGGYTGCAGTCTGGTGTCACGTCGGGGGTGACCTACACCACCCTGTGCCACATGCTCCAGGTGTCCCTGCTTGAGCAGGAAGGTTGGACTAGATGATCTCTAGAGGTCCCTTCCAACCTYGAACATTCTGTGATTCTGTGACCTGGGGGCTGTTTATAGCCGWGGTCGTAGCAGTGGACATAGCAGTGGCCCTAACAAGCACCCCTGGCATCCCGGCCATGCACTGAGCACATATTTCCCGGGGTGACGCCACCCCACAGCCCATCAGTTCTGAGCGGGGCCTCACCAGCACTCGTGGCCAAGACCCTCTTTGCCAAACCGGTCGCTAAAATTCCTCCTGAGCCCACAGAGGCAACGTTGGCAGGTTAAATACCTGCTTGAGGAGACAGCAGAGCAGCAGGGCGTTGGGCCAGAGGCAGCAGAGCTTGTTKGCACGCGTGGGAACAGCAGGGTTTGCCCTCCTGCAGACAGGGTAGGATTTGGCTGCTAGTACCAGTTCAGCTGATTGCAGGAGCGTGGGGCTCTTTGGGCAGGACGGCACCGCACCCCACGGTGGCCCACACAGCAGGGATATTCCTTGCACAACTTCAGAGCCTGCTAACTGCAGCAGTTCCCAAGGAGCACAAAGCTCTCCAGTGCCATTTGCAGAACGTTCCAAAAGTCCTTTCTGTCCCTGCTTCTTCCACCAATTATCCACAGGAAGGGATTCTTCCCGGTTTGAGCACTAGTTCTGATGCATTGCTGTTTCCCAGAAATTGTTTAAAGATGCTGTTACTTCCTTGAAAACTAAGTGGAATGCATGTGTCAACCAGCTGGGCATCCAGGTCCTTCCCAAGCCCTGGAAAAGAGCTGCTCTTCCAGATGCAGGAGTGCAGGAGCAAGGGTTATCCAAGCAACWCCCTGGGAAGGAGGAGAGACGGGGCGCTCGGGAGCCGTGCCAAGGGCAAAGTGCCCCCTTCCCGACATGGAACGGCTGCCGAGGCTGGGGAATGCTCCGTGCTCGAGCATCACCTTGAAAATACCCTTRGTGAGATGGAAGGAGCCTTGCTCGGGTCTGGGTTTGCTGGGATTTCCAGCACCGAGGCGGAAATGCCCTTTTGTGCTTGTGGGGGACTCCTGTGAGGGGCTCAACGCGGCGCTCCTGGATAAACGGAGCCGGCCGAGCAGAGGCAGCCCTGCTGGGAAGCCCCTTTCCCAACGTGGATCATTCTTGTGGGGGTTGCTTGCCATCCTCCCGGTATTTCCGTACATTCACTGAGCCACAGGCTCCAGACCTGCATGCACTGTGCATGGCTGGCCACAGTCTCCATCTCTCCTCAGTAAATCTGGCCTGTAGACGYGTTACTAGCAGCTCTCCAGCACCAAGCTCATGTTCCTTGTTCCGCAAACAGCCCCTGGCCTCAGTCCTTGACTTCCAGCCCGCATCCAGCCCGCTTCGCCCACATCTCACATCTTTCCTGCTTTTTTTTTTTTTTTATGGAGCATGAAATATCTCAGCAGACTCAGCACATCGAGGGCAGCACCAGGGCTGCRGGAGCAGCGGGGAGAGAAACACAGCAGGCTCATGATGTGCAACGTGAGGAGCCCGAACCAGGTGAGAGCTGAAACGCAGGGCACACACCAAACACATCTGGAAACTCGGGCGTCCGGAGCCTCCAAACACTGGCCTAGCCGAGCGTCACCCAGCCAGGAAAGACTCCTTCTTCAGGAACGCACGCGCTTGTCAGCTGCCATATTCCGTGGGCTTTTCCAGGGCTTTCCTTCAGCTGAGGTTCATTATTTCCGAGCAATGAACCTCGCAGCCGGCTGAGCCTGGGTGAGCACCAGCCCCGGGCGGGATTTGCTCCYGCAGCAGCGACACCCGCGGAGCCGCCTGCTGCCGTCCCCGGCGCCCCCGTCACGCGCAGGCGGCAGGGCCTGCGGCACCGCACGCGGCTCCCGGGAAACGCGATCCCGYGGCGCTCCCGGTGAGCGGAAAGGTCACCGGCACCACAGGGAAACACATTTCACAGGAGGGAAAGAGGTGGCAGGCGGTAAAACGCAGGGAGCCGGTAGCCTGCAAGTCCCTGGAASGGTGCTGCTCTCCTGGACACTCACTTCCTGCCCACTCTCCGTTATTTCTCTGAATCCAGCTCCTTTGCTCTGCGGTTATTTTAGTTGCTCCGCTCTGGTCAGGATACTGTCAGTGGAGAAAGCTGGAATCGCTCAAGGGCCACGTCATGCTTGCCAAGCTGGTGAAATCAGAAGCGGGGAGGCCCACGGGCACCGCTTGCAGCTCCTGACACGAGAGCTGCCGTCGCAATGTGGCCTTCCAAACAGCTTCTCTCCCCGCAGAAGGCTTCGTGTCAGCGGCATGAGAACAAATTGGGGATTTTTTTCCCCCACAAAGGCCGTAGCTTTGTGCATCCTTGGCTCCTTGCTTTGTCCATCAGCAGATTCAGAGCTGCTCTGCAGAAATCACCTCCTCTGGGTATAGAGAGACAGCATCAGTTTAGGTACTGGCAGGATCTGATCCCCTTTTTCTGGATGCAGACGACGAACGCAGCCACATCCCCAGGCCYGTGTCAGGATGCAGCATCAGCGACTCCAAAAAAGACACGAATCGGGAAATACCCAAGTAACCACAGAAACGAACTGCTGTGCTCTTTGCAAGCAGCGCCGTTTGCTCATCACACCCYGGCAAAACCCTTAGAGAACCACAACGATCTGCAGACGGCCGCGCTGGGCACGTTTGCAGCCTTCCCTGGGGCACCCAAACCTTTCCCGTGCACTTGCAAGCTCCGTAGAGCTACAGCCGGCATTCCCAAAGGGCTTCTGGCTTCCAAGTGCTGGATTCGGGTCCTGCAGCAGGACCCGAGATGGTGCAAGCTCCGGGAGCCGGGCTGGAGCACAAAAGCTTGTGCTGAGCTGAAAACTGCTCCRGAGACAGGCAGAAAAGGCACAGTGAGGACTCAGGGGCACTGCTGCTCACGGAGAGGTGGCAACTTTCCCAAAGTCATGCCTAAAGAAAGTGGAGCCGGCCTTCCTGGCAAGACCTCCCGCAGCAGAACCGCTCCACCAGATTCACATGCACCAGGGATCACTGCGCCACAGTTCATGGGAATGTGTGTCCTTGAGAGCCAGCAGGGAAGCCAGAAAAATGGAAAAGAGCCCCCCAAAATCATGGATTCAGGTCTCCTTAATGATTGTGTTGCTGCAAAAATTGGCAATGATGAGAACTGTTTAAGGACTTGCCATCCTGGCTGCTGAATTCCAGCCAGGATASTGATAAATCTCTCCTTAACCTGCTGCAAAGTCCAGGAAACCCAGAAATCCAGCAAGATTTCCAAAAGTTGTCTGCCACTCACAGTAATATCTGCCAGCAGGCAGAAAGCACCAGAGTGAACAAGAGTCCATGCACCCCATTAAGGGGGGTGAAGGTGCATGGAGCCAAATTTCACCTCTTCCAGCCTTCCACCTCGGTGCAGCCCTCATTCATTAAAAAAGAAGCTCAAAAAATCCATTTCCACAATAATTGACGCCTCTTAGCAGAAAGCAGGGTGCAGGTAGCAGCTAGGACACGCCACGTGGGAGAAGGGGAAAGAAAGAGCCACGAGAGCAGCAGCGATCCCACTGTTTGCATGACCACAGCAAAATGCATCATTCCCTGCCTGTTACCGTGCCGGGGAGGATGCGGAGGATAAATGGGAATTCAGCCCATACTCACAATTCCCTTGAGCGCCTGTTTGAAATGGAGAACAGTGCCACGTGCCTCGAGCACAGGAAGGGCTGAAGGGAAGAGATGTGTCAAGAGCTTCCACTGCTATTAGAGCAAGCAGGGGTCAGCCTGCTAGAGCCCCCACGCTGSTCCCAAAGCCACCAAGTCACATCTCCAGGGACAGGCGACAACGTGTGGCCTCTAAATCYGCCTCTCGGTAGCGCAGGACCTGACCCCTCAACTCTGCAGTCAATAGCAGGGATGCTGGTGAGGTTCTCAGGCACGTGAGGCCTTTCACGTGGGCATGGCCCAAACCCACAGAACGGCCTTTTCTGGACGGGCCATCTCACCCCTCCATCACAAACACCAGCCCCGTGGCTACTTCCACAATTTAATGGTCTTTAGCCATAAAGCAGCGAGTTTTGTAGCTCCTGTTGGTGCTAGACRCATGACAGATTGGTTTCACATCATCAGGATGCAACACACATCTGAATAAAACAAGCAAACACACAAAAACCCTCTATGGGCATTTGTAGAAGGAATTTTAAAATACTTCTTTTCCCACTCACAAATCCACCTGTGTTTCTGTTCCTTGAATTATCCGTAGGTAATTCAAGGTACCCTTTGGTTTGTAATTACCCCCTCTAAACACATTTGCATTACTATTTTTTAAGCCGATGCTCTACCCTGTTATATTTCTCTATGGGAAGAAAAAAAGAAACAGGCCTATATGCTGAAGTTTCAGAGCTTCACGTGTTTGTTTGGTGCCTGAAATGCCTGAAATGCTTCTTCCCCTGTTGGACTGTGCAGATTCTACTCACCAATTGGGCAACAAACCCTCCCCTCTATAAATGAAACTCACCATGACACCAAAAGCACAAAGCAAGCGGCCTCCACGGCYGGGAAACAGGGACAGGAGACACTTGGAAAACTCCCTGCGCCGCACGACACCAGCCCAGTTACTTGGGACAGACCCGGAGGGAGAAGGCGGAGGAAGGAGATTTGGGAAGAGGAGCCCAGGGTTTGTCACCCGCGTGAACATCCCGCTCGCTCTGCCCCTAATCCACAGAAAACAGATTTTGGGGACTTGAGGGCTGAAATCAGGTGGGAGATGCTGGGAAAGGGGAAAAAAAATAAGACCCTATAGCTGAGAGGGAGTCACGTCCCGAAGGAAGAGCTCCATCCCGGGGTAAAAGCGTGTCGGTGTCGGGCGTTCGCTATGCAGCTGAATTGGGTTTCGCTGGGATGGTGCAATGGATGTCCTGTAGGTTCCCGCCTTTCCCTCGTCTTTCTAACTCTGACCTGAACGGGGAAGCAGAAGTTCCAGCAAGGCAGGACTAAGAAATCCCAAAGGTTTCTTTGCTGCTTGCCCAAGACCAGGCTAAGCAGGGATGAATCCAGGTGGAGGCAGGTGTTGGCAGGGCTGCAGATGGCAATTCTCACTCAAGCATGTTAACAATCAAAATCACCACGTTTTCCTTTTACAGCATTTCCAAACAAGGATCCCCAAGGATTTTCTGAAGCTAGATAACTCATATCCAAGAAATCCCAGAGATCTGGATAGGGAAGTAGTGCATCCTTCTCCTTGTGGGGAAACCGAGGCAAGCTAGCTCAGCACTGCAGAGCATCACAGCGGGGCTTGGGAAAGGCCGAACATTCAGTGATTTCCAGGTATACAGACGATCATTCCCAGGTTCTAGAGGACGGCGGGATGCAAGACCAGAGGAGAAGCTCAGAGGCGAAGGTGGGAAGGGATGGGAAAGGTTCGCACATTCCCTCTGCATCCCGCAGCGCCATCAGCCCATCCCTTCATGGTCCAGGGAACCGAGCCGTGAAAGGCTTCTTACAACAAGCCTTCCCGCATGGATCCGTGAAACACACACTGGAAACCATAGGAAAACTCTTGCTCCGCAAAGCAACGGAAACCCCGGGAACAGCAGAATCATCAGTGAGCCTGGCAAGGCTCCTGTCCCTCAAGGCTCATGACGGGAACAGAAACAAGAGCCTTGGGCCTCTCCAGACCCGGCCGGCGTCGGCCGCTCCCGCCACGTGGTGCGAGGGGCCGGCCGGGCCCGGCGCGTCCGCGGCCCCGCAGGGGTGACGAGGGCTCCTGGGCCCCACKGTCACCAGCGGGAACATCCCTCGGGATGCTCCCCCAGCACAGGGAATCCCCAGCGCTGTCCCCAGGCCAGCAGCCCCAGCGCAGGGCCCTGAGGGTGTCCCTGCACCCCCTCAGGTGGAGGGGTGTCCCCAGGGGTCCCCAGCCCCACATTCCCAGGGCAGGGGGCACCCCAAGTGTCCCCAGCCCCAACATCTGTCACGGGGGGCCCCAAGGACCGGCAGAGCCAATGGGGTGTCCCTGGAGGGTGACCCCAAGTGCCAGACGCAGGGGGTGTCCCCGGGGGGGACCCCAGCGATGCCCTCCCACGCACAGCTCTGTCAGGGCAGTCCCCAGGCCCTGACACCCAGAGACGTCTCCTGACCTGAGGGGGGATAGGAGGGAATCCCGAGGAATGTCCCCTGCTCCAGGAGCCGGCAGCGGGTCTCATAGGAGACGTCCCCTGCCCCCCAGGCCCGGCAGGGGGTCCATGGGGTGTCCCCTGTGCTGGGGCTTGGCGCGAGTGTCCCAGCAGTGTCCCCGGGGACTGCCCCGCAGCCCGGCCCGCAGGGAGGCAGAGGCGGCTGCCGCAGGGCCCCGCCGGGGCTCCCACCTTCTTCACGGAGAGGGAGATGTTCTCCAGGATGCGGTCCTTCACCTCGCGCGGCTCCATGGCGCCC